ATAGAGAAAGAACGCGACACTGTGTCTTTTCAGTCAGGTCTACAATCGCCATGTCGTCCGGTAGAAGTAAGGAGGTCAGTAAAGAAGAGAAGGTGACGCTTTTTGCCCAAGGCGCCATCATAAGTCCAACCGTACGTTACGTTGCTCCAAGCTACAAATTATCACCGATAACTCAAGCATGAATTAAATGGTTAAAAGGTCATCGAATTTCTGCAGTGTTTAACTGTTAATTGTTTTGGCGGCCCTCAGCGACTAATAATGGATTATATTGTGATATAATGTGATAGAATTTCCTCGGAGGCATGCTCAGGCTCTCGCGCCTCGAGGTTCTCTGTGACTGTCAGCGAAAAAGCGACTAGGCTGAGATGGCTTCAAAAAGTTCTGATGTTTGGGCCCTCTAGCGACTTGTAATTGAAATTCAGCTTCATATGACAGGAACGTCATGCACTGCGCACTACTACATGCTGAACATTCTTCTAATTCCTGACTGTCAAACACATTTAGCAGTTCAGCCAATGAGAGAATAGCAATTATCGGCTGGACAATGAGCTGAGAATTGCTGCATGTCCGTGAAACGAGTAATGATAAGTAGAGAAAAATTGACACAAAAATCATCAACCTTTGTTGTTATTTTTACAAAGATCTTTTATTACCGATGGATATACGACAGAAAGGAACACCTAGACATAGCCTGGGTACCATCCTACTTGTATGCCGGGGCTCCCACACTCGCTTCCCTAGGGAAGCGAGTGTGGGAGCCCCGGCATACAAGTAGGATGGTACCCAGGCTAACCTAACAGCTATTTGTTTTCATGATTTATGCAGAGCAAGAAGTTATACACTCATAGCCTGGGTACCATCCTACTTGTATGCCGGGGCTCCCACACTCGCTTCCCTAACAAGTAGTGAAGCGCGAGTGTGGGAGCCCCGGCATACAAGTAGGATGGTACCCAGGCTAACCTAGACAGTCAACAGCTATTTGTTTTCATGTTTTATGCAGAGCAAGAAGTTATACACTCAGTCATTTATGTCACAGTGATATTTTTTCATTCTCACATTGTTAACAACTCTCCTTCTTGTCTTTTCAGAATGATGTTTTACAACGCCATAAGATAAGTCAAATTAACATAACCACAATGTATTTTCTAGTAGTGTTTTTGTACAGTCCAGTGATATGTATTCACACTGTGTGTACTTTGCTACGTATATTGACGATACATTTTTATACAGCCGACGGAAGGTATATATACTTATAACTAATATACCAAAGCACACTCGTTGCATATAAACAAAATCATTTTCTACAATTCACAAACATGTGTATAAAAATATAAGCGTAAAACTCATAAAACATCTTTACAAAACGGCCATTCACCAATGTATCCGTCTGTACATGTATGTCAATATGGAGTCGTAACAAGAATATTGAACATTGCTGATTTCTGCTTATTCGTGTACAAAACCGGTCATTTTCAGTAGTGGTAGTAGTAGCATCACACAAATCTAAAAAGGCGTTCTTCTTTTTATGAAGATAGAACTGGTTAGTGGTGTCAATGAGCAGTTACCAAGCATAACATGTCAAAATCTGCGAAGGGTAAGGGTAGAAGGGTATTTTTTCAGGTAACCGCACTTTGCTGCATATTCAACAATCTACCGTACAGGGAGCCGTTGCTATTGTTGTTGCTTTACTGTTTTAATGTTAGGCCGTACTGATTTTATTATATGGGTGACATCCGAAACTGATGCGAGCCTGCGAATTAACAGAAAAGTTTGACAAGAAAAGTTGTCTTCATTTTAAAATCTAAATGGCAAGGAGGGTTAAGCTGAACATATGTATGGCTGAACATACAGGGCATGGCATGCCAAACACAACATTATTCATTTCAGTTCACATGTTCTTTGACTTTGAAAGACTTTGTGGTGCAAAAGCCCTGTGATCGTTTCCTTCTCATTTCGACCTCAAGTACATAAAGAAACAGTGTCGTCGCAAACATTTTTTAAACTGACGAAAATTGACGAGGATATCAACCATATAATGAAGTCAGCCTGGCCTTTGCTGGTCACCCGTCGTCCAAATTCGGGATGAATCTACCCGATTGAGAGGACTGCAGCCGGTTAAGATGACCAGGAAGTACACAGGCACGATGATGACCACGATGATGATCGCTGCCAAGCCGATACCCAGGGCGATCTTCCAGAGGATGGAGGCGGTCCTGGAGGCAGATTTGGCGCCCTCCCTGTCCCCTGACTCCCAACGGGAATCCACCTGGCAAAGGGAAGACAACAAAATGATCAGTCAGAACTACATGCTGCAGAAAATCCGCTGGGGGGGGTTCTAGTATTTGATAGGCCCAAACCTAACAACGTTGCAAACTTCAGAACAATCCACTCGTACTCATCGCTTCTCGAGTTGTGCTGTTTACAATAAACAAACACCGCTAAAAACGCTACAAACAAAGTAACTTTTTTGTCACTCGGAGGTAATAGACCAATTCTATAGCCTCGATCACTTCTGTCAAAACGTAGAAACGCAAAATGATATATATATATATATATATATATATATATATATATATATATATATATATATAGATGCAAAGATTTGACGGGCATACAGCGCTACTTTCTCATTGGTCCAACCGTTAATTGCCATGCTATCATTGGTTGAACGGATAATTGTGATTGATAGTCAGGATGGGTCTGTATTAACGTCACATACTGACCATGCAGGCAAAGATCAAGGACACCAGTCCGAGCGGCCAGAAGCAACAGAGGCAGGTGAAGATGGCCATGCCGACATGGCTGTCCGGCTTGGACTCCTGGACAATGACCATTGTCTGTGGGGCGCCGCCGACCTGGGTGGAGAACAGAGAAGGAAAAAAACACAACGCATTTTCACTGACAAAAACTACACAAGGCATTTCACTCCAGAACTTCTACTTATATATATTCTTCTTCTTGCTTTGTACCGATGTAGGCGGGCTGTCATTGTCTTCAAAACTAGCGAAACCTTCGAAAGTAGGAGAGTTAGCAGCGAAACTCGCTGTTATGTTGTCTATCGCATTCTGTACACCTATGTGCTATGTCTACTAGTATCTTGAAACTGACTAAAAACTCTGACTGTCTCCGTAACAAGTCATTTTAATGGATGAGAAAAATAGAAACAGACGAACATTTTGATTTAACTCGAATGTTTTTCAAGTTGCAGTTACTGCTACCACTAATACTAGTATACATCAATCTTACGGCTAGTTTCGTATGGTCTACGGCAACTATACATACAATACCAGTCAATGCAACTATCCACAGAAACGGAGTATGAAAGAATAGATAATTTTCACTCATTTACCTTTAAAAGGACATATGACTGTACCATGGTACCATGAAATCATTTAGGAGTCATACACTATGCGATAATTAATATTGGTGAACATCTGAAACTTTCCATATCAGGGAGAGAGAGAGAGACAGAGAGAGAGAGATTTGAAATCTTACCACAACGGTAGACTGCTGTGCCATTACTGGCTGTGGATATCCTGCAAAACACAGTACACACTGTATAAAATATCAGAGATTTGAACTCTTACCACAACGGTGGACTGCTGCTGCATGGGCATTCCGGGCTGTGCGTATCCTGCAAAACAAAACGCACAGTGCAAACTGTACAATATACTTTCCCATGCATTGTTTTTAATCAATAATGCATTTAATTTGATTACTGAACTTAACATTCAACTTAAGACTTAAGACTGAAGGAAAGATCTCTTTACTCGTCGTGTAGCCCGCTGAATGACTGACTCTGAAATGAATACATGTATATGAGACTTATGACTGCGAAAATATGATTTGAAAGAAGACGAAACACAAAAAGCTTACATAATAAACTTCTTTTTAATGCAATTCGTTTTAAGTACTAGACTGGTATGTCCCAACGCGTTTTACGGTACAGATAAAAGTTGTCGTTTCCTAAAACCGGGAACTCTGGGGAATTTTTCTGACTTAGACAGTACGTCCAGGTGTAGAATCTGACCACCAGATCACCCAGATACAAGCTCGTCACTCGCCATGGTGTGTTTCCAAATCGCGAAATCGCACGACTAGTCCACGTACGCTTTTCTACTCATTCACAATTGAAGAGAGGTATATTTAGAATGGATTGTCACCGTAATGACACGACGGACGGTACCTTTCTATTCATTCCACTACTTAGTGACAAATAACTTGAGTATTTAGCTTCATGCCCAACGACACGTATACACTTCCCACATGTGTACCCCACACATGCTCACATTGTCACGGTCTTCGCTCTTTCCTTGTAACTGAAGATCCCGGCTATTAAATGAGGTATCTCTGTCGCTAGGACACCGGTAAACAACGGCGACACGGTAGACTTGTGGCATTTATGTCACAACAAAGTTGACCAACAAAGCAGGGCCCAGGGAAGCGGACAAATATTTGAAAAAAGACCTGTCGTCTGGCAAATTTGCGAGGCAAACTGTACGTGTGACATGTTTTTCCTGTTTTTTTGGAGGGTGAGGGTAACTTACAATCGCCTTTTTTCTGTTTTTCTGAAGGCATATCAGTTTTCGGTGCTCGGTGTTTTGTGGGCCGCCTCCGATTACCGAAAACCGATATGCCATCAGACAAAAAAGGTCATCATAACCCCCAAAGATGCCGGACTCGTAAAGCCTTCTAGGGTGGCTGTATGTTCTTCCTCAAACTGACAAAAAAACAGAAACAAACAATTTCGTCTTCAATAAAAGTCGTACGATAGCGAGATAACAAATCTGATATGAAATCACAAGAAGAAAGACCTCATTTCATAGATAAAGCTCTGGCTGACCATAAACATATATGTCAATGCCGCACCCTTCATTGTATAGCCTGTACAAGCCTCCTTATATTTCATGCGTAAACAACTTCCTCCCCCCTCCCCCTCCCTACCCCGTACAAAAGACAACCTGTTTCACTTTAGGCGGGCATAGATCATTAGATATGTCCATAAAATTCTATCATGTCATGTTTAGATTCTTTTGAAACTATACGAAATTGATTTTGCACTGAAACGACGTACTAGGTTGTGTTTTTGTATGCATACAAAAGTAGTCTTGGTGATGACCGAAATGATTTTAGACGTTACATTATACTAGTAGGCAGCTATCTGAACATACCGATATACCCTTCAACACACTTACAAACCTACAACCTTATAAACCAATATGTTTTCTCGTCACCATGCAATGATAGATGTGGAAATCATGGTGGGTGTTTCGTTTTGGGTGAAGAAGATTTATGTACTTCCAAGTAGTGACAGGTTAGAAAGCACACGTCATGGTCCATAGATATCTACAGAAACAGGTGTCATGTACGTGTCTTCCTGATATAAAAATAGGACGATTTCAATTTAAAGCTTTACAATAAATTACCACCACTTAGACTTATCTAGGTCAAATGTGTATAGCCTCCACTAGGCCTTTCTAAGCGGGTTAGGATAGTAGGATTCGGCAAAGACATGGTTCGACTGACCAGGGAGTGGGTTAGGGTTTCATTTCCCCCTTGGACAAATTAACTCCACGGTGGCCAAACCTACCCGCCAAATCAGTCTCAATATTTTGGTAAAAGTTACTGTTTTTGAACCCTCGTTGTTACTCTGGTGGAGAATGGACTGTGTATACAGTGTTCTTAACGACTGTATAACCTGTACACTCACTGTGACTAGTCGTAGTGCTAGAACCAAGGTGGTCACGCTGAATGCGCCACGTTATGTACAAGAGATAACATACCTGGAGCGACGGACATCTTGTTTCCCTCAGATGGACACCTTTTCTCACAAGACAACGATCAAAAACGTGGGTTGTAGGCCGACAGCCGTTGTAACTAAGCGGGCAGGTGAACCTTCTGAGATGGCGGTACCTGGCGGGTCTGTGTAGGGGAAGGGTGTCACTTTCAGCAGGCCTTTTGTTTAGGGTCGGCACATCCGAAAAGGTACACCTAGAGTTACACACAGCGCCTTGGTAACAGGTAAGCAAACGTCATGGCTAGCTGGCAGTGTTCCCTGGGGGCATCCCGACATGCAAAGTGTTGTGCGGTGTCAGGTTTTCCCTTGTCCCGTGTAAGGTCACACTGATTTGATTTTATGGATGACATCCGTGCGCGCATTGATTTTCGCCTGTTCTCAAAAAAAAAAAATCACGTCTTCCGAGTCTCTGGCCTGGCTTTAGGCTTGGGTAGTCCATATCATGCGACAACGACGCCGGTGTTAACTCTGGAGGACGGCACCCAGGCCACCGAAGCTCCACGACTCAAGATCTCAGTACAGTGTCCATTCAAAGCCAGCATGTGCTGACCTGTCGTATACATCGCGATGTAATGCGCCAAATTCACAATACTGGCTTTGTATTCCTGCGGTTTAGTAGCATTTTTATTTTGGGCCGGATTTTTCTTTTTTTCGCCCGCGCGCACTAGTTTGGGGGTGTTCAGAGGATGTCATCCATAAAATTAAGCTGGTGTGGCCTAACTAAGATAGAGACCTACTTTTACTCTACTACAAGCAGTGTCACGGCACGTACAATTCACAATTCTTAGAAATACATCAGTGATATAGTTTAAGAATTTTATTTAGACAAGTTACTACTACAAAGGAACTAATAACTTTATTTGTTTGACCAAAGGACAATGATCCCCCCCCTTTCAATGAAAACTCAATTTGAGTCTATTATGCATGTCTAGCCAGCTGGTGTCTAAACCTATTTTAGCTACCGAGTCTTTTTCGCCCTCTCCTATTTGAGGGGAGGACGAAAGGGACTTGGACACCTTGCGATAGATGAAGCGGCGCGTACTTAAACGTTTCCGTGCAAACGTGAATAAAATAACTATAGGTTTGTACTCTTTTCAATCTGGGAACACCACTGATTGAAAACACTCTCTTATTGCATATTGAATATTGGTGTTATTGTGTTGGAACTCGCGGCCTCTCTGACCTAAGTGACATCAAGGACATTCCTTGGTGACATCTAGCGAAGTGACATTTAGCGAGTAATAGCAGTTTAACATTGTGTGACTTACGCGGCATACTTTGTTAGGAAGGTTGACGTCGAAACGACACTACAGTACCCTGACGTCGACACATTCCCTAATGAAGCGCCGCCTAGCGAGTTGCTGTGACTAAACGCCTATCTGGCGGCTGACGTGACCTACTTGTTGGGACAACAGACAAAGAAACATAAACATTGCCCGATAAGGTCGCACTTGGCCTTGCCTGTTGTTCAAAATCGGGTCACCAGTGGAACATTTTTTTCATTTGAAACATCAATGAAAAACACATCAACAGGCAAATCTTCCGACGCTGACGTGCTTGAACCTATATATTATAGTCCACAAGTTATGCTCTTTTTAGGTCTACATTTTCCCCATTTTTCATACAAGTGCAGCATTATCATGGCAGTGGTCTTTAGAGCTCGAGCTAGGATGTTGTTGGTTTACGCTGAGGAAGACCTCACATTTGAGTACTTCTATATCTGTAGGTTGCTAGTATATAGACATGCATAAGTTGTGTTTTTACTGCCGGCAGAAAGACACTATAAGAAGTACGTAGCAATATATATGGTGCTAACGTTAACCTGTACAAATCATGAGAATCATGCCGTATGAGCAAATACGTCATATATGTGTTTTTCCCATAAGAAAAGGGTTGCTTCGTACATACGTTGGATGGAATAAACTATCGCACTTATGACACAAATACATTATAACGTCACATGCATCTTTTTAGCGCCACGAATAAGCGCCACAAATGAACATTGTAGGGAGGACGGATGGATTATACTCTAAGCAAAAACAAAAGCTAGCTGTATGATCGTGACGATACTGAGGCTAAATCTGACCGTACATGCAAATGTAACCCATTTTAGCGCGAAACTCAGGTCACAACATGACCGCGAGTAACCTCTAACGGAAGCTGACGGCCGTGAAATGACTTCCCATGACCGCGATAGACGCTCTGTTGACCTGCAATAACCTCTATCGGCACCAACCTCGGAGGAAAGACGTGACCGAGGCGCGCGGGAACTCTCGTATGACCCGACAAACACTCGCTTCCTGTCGTCTGCGCGAGGCCGTTGACCCCATTGCGAGGTGCGGCCATGAGTGGCATTTCCCGATACTTCAATGGTAAGTCCTTCCCGTAGGAACCTTGGTAGATGCAAATTGCATTTTAAGTCTAGTTAATAGCTAGAAGCCTTCACCGGTCCTTCACACGACATCGTGTTAAATTTGTCCTTTGTTGATTAGTTCCTATGAGCTCATGAAGTCCTCATATATACATCATATAGCTATCGTATCAACTATGTAACCTTTAACATCCACGATGATGTGCGAATGAAAAAATGCTTTCAAGCTTTACTTCAATTTGATGTTCCGTTCATCAAATTGTCTTGGTATATGTTTAGAACTGTTAAAACACAAATGACCATTCTAACGTGTACAAATAAACACGTACTTCAATAAAAAAGGAAACTGGACTCGGATAATGAATGGAAAGCAACATAGGTAAGATATTTCCGAGCGACTGATATACAGGAAAACCTTTTCTGAACGCTATATACATTCCCTCATACGATATTCACCACACGAAGTAGGCAGCTCCAGAAGCCCCTGTACGTACATGTACGTGCGTTAGTGTAGCTACGATCGTAGCCTAGTTTTGGGGACATTTCGACAGCTGAAGCACAACAATATGATCTTCCTGAACCCATTCCTGGGACACACGTACACACACCGGGAATATTGAAAGAGGGACGGGTGCTTCATTCACACCCACATATAGAGCCATCTAGCCTGATTTCTGGACAGTTACGTTTAATTCTGTGAAGACCTTTCAGAGGATTATCTTTATCTGTCAGTATAAATTAATGTAACTCCACGCAATTCAGCCGTTCAGCGTCTATGTGGAAATAACTGTGCATATGCAGAAATTGCAATGTGCAGATGTAGAAATTGAATAAACCATTCTCATTATCACGACGACGCCCTATCTGTCTTTGTAACTACGGCTATTCTTAAAAATCACTGCCCTTTCTTTGCTGTAAGTTACTGAAATATTTTGTCAATCTGCACACCATTATGGTGCGCAGAATTGTTAGACCTATGTGCCCTGTTTAATACACAACATCCCCATGACTCGCTTTTAACTGTTTATGAATAATATCAGATTGAGAATTAAATCCCCGGCAACAGTTTCCGGGACATTCGTCTTTTCGCTACGGACGCTGGGTAACGGTTGTAAAATCAGATGGAATTGTGGGTAATTTGTGATTGACGATCATGACCCAAAGAAATGCATCATGGTCCACCTGCTTATAGGGACAACTTTTAGTCAATTTGGCGTTGCCTTGAAAGCATATGACGTGAAAACGGACATGGGGTTGTCCTTGGGTGTCCAAACATGTGTACACCATACTTGCAGCGGCGTAAAACATTCAACAGATCTAGTCAAGAATATTCCGCACAGGACAATTCTGTATCTAAATGAAAACGAATGATTGATATTACCGTAGACGCCAGTGTATAACCAAGCACTTGTGCTTAACTTCTCTATTAACTGTGACCTAACGTTACGAGTATAGACAAGTACATTTTGTAATGATGATGATGACATTTTGTGAATAGGTACGTACATTAGAGAATGTTTAGCTCGAAAAAACTGTATATACGCAGTCTACCTTGTTGTGTTAAAACCATTGCATTTGTGTGTCTATAGGATCCTATAGTTCTACCACGGCCTGCACACTATGTCTCTGATGCATGTAACGTTACACAGATCTCAGAAGGCCTAAGCTATAACGCACGTTTGCATAAAGAAAACGTACAGTGTCGAACACCTGTCGGTCGTTGTTCCCCCTAGCTATTTTATTTGCGTTCACTTGCGGTGCTCTACATTCAGGGACACGTTAACGGTTTGTTTCAAGCAATGACGTAAGCAAGACGCTGTGCCCTTCAGTTTTGAAAACACCAATATACAAGGCTACTATGACAATTACAATGCATGGTGCTGGTGCATGGTGCTAACTGTTATTATTCCGGTAGAAAAGCTGAAATTTTCTACATGGTTGTAGCATATGTGGAATATTTCAATTCAGCAAGAGTAAGGATGATAGCTATATAGGCCTTGGGGGAGTCAGCAAGACGGTTCATTTGCAATAGGCTTCATTTTTTTTTAAATTTTCGATGCACTGCACCATGATGAAGAAATGCTCCATATCTAAATCTTAAGTAGAAAGACCCTCACTCACTTCCTGGGACCCCAGCTCGGGTCACTGGTGCATGCTGGGTAATTTAATTTTCGAGGCAAGGAACTGTGGGTAGTTCTGCACTTGGAGAGCTTGGCCTAAAGAAATGCATCATGGTCCGACCTGATTTCAGGACAATGTCTGCTGTATCTGACTGCACTGTAACTGAAGCTGCAACCTCGGCAGGGTCGTTCTTGTCTGTAATTTCAAACTTGGGCAATATCGGGAACGTTGTTGGAACTGAATGTTACTGTAAGAATAGAATCCAAGCGTTGTCATAAAAGGACGAACAATGAAAAAAGTCTCAACGTGCAAAATAGATCACAGAAAAATACTACCAGCATCGGTTCGGAACAATCACAGTTGAAAAAAATCATACAAAATGCACTTCATCTCACAATATACATATCGCTACCACACGTACACAGTGTGTATATAAATGTTTAACATAGTCTCTGACTTTGTCATTTATATCTATGTCAAACAAAACCCTTTTTTTACAAGATTCCCTCCTTGCATTTCAGATTCGTAATATTCTCTCGCGATTTCTTCAGGGTGATATTGTACATGGGCGGCTTCCAAAATAGCAAGTAAACGGATATGAGACATGAATCAATACTGCACATGCGTTGTCACCATAAATGAAAACGTGGCCGCGCTTTCGCACACACGCAGCTGCCATGTGTATCTTTTTTGTTTCAGCTCAAGGCTTATTATTATCGTGGATGAGCCACATACTGGGACGCGTCTGGTAGCATCAAGGTCGGTGAGATACAGGGGCGAAGCTGTGCTGTTTAGACAGACAAAGCCGCACAGAAAAAACAAGGTTTCCAGTGGCTTTACGTTGGAATATGGAGTTTGAAATTTATGGAAATTCCTTTGATTACAAAATTATAAGCAATGATGATCGTATCGTTTCTGTGTATTTCTGAAAACCTAGTACCTTGAATCCAGTTGTCATTTAGACAACAGTCACACAGACACGGGTGCCAAATCATACTCATTCATAGTATCATATATAGAACATTTTTAAGTTGCTTCACTTCCCCTACTTATTACAAGGAAGGGAAAAGCATGATGATCGTTTAACAGAACATCCTTCCACTAGTACGAAATGTCGCATGATATGAACTGATAAAATTTCATTTCTTAGTCAACGAACGCTATCCATTGGCTATCAACCTTGTTTGGGGACACGCGCCCTTTCGCAAAGGACGTCGGGTACTGAGGAATTGTGGGTAATTACGGTGTACTTGAAGAACTTGGCCCAAAGAAGTGCATCATGGTCCAACCTACTTTCAGGACGGCTTCAACCGATCTGACACTGTCCCAGAAAGCTCTAGACGTGACCTGAAGAGGTCATTCAAGTAGGTCAATGTTGGCGGGCATTGTGGGAAGGATAAGTTACGTCATCAGGGTTGTTTTTAGAAAGATGTGTACATGTGCAAGATTGAACCAAGCACATGCGCAGACGCGGATGTAGGACTGATTCAGGATGCAAGAAACCAACTCAGGTACGTTTATACATGTACATGCGTTAGCGCTAATATATCGGAGCACATCACTTGATTTAAGTAAAGACCATGTGAACTATTAAGTAGAAACTGTTAAAATGAGTGCGATAGTTTGCCGAGGTTGTGCACAAAGCATAGTATACATTACATATATTTACTCCTTCATATCTAGCTTATGAACGTAGTCTATATCCCTTACAAAACACCAACGTTCCGCAAATGGATTTTCTACGACGATACACAAATTTATGTATGTAGTGCAACGTTTCCTTTCCTTTTTTCCACACAGAAAAAATGTACGACTTTTCATTCTAACAAAATATCGCATCAGCATTTTCATCCTCCCCGAACACACTTACATGTAGTTACAGTACGCGCGCTCCGCATTCGGGGACGCCGCCATTTAAATCAAGGTCACCAAATTATAACAAGCAGCTGGCGATGGGCGATGGGCGATGTGTCCTTCACTGCTCAATCAAATAAAGAATCGAGAGAAGGAGCGTGGACAAAAGACGTTAGAGCCGCCTCGGTAAACAAACGCAGCCGCCATCAGGCCTTCGTAGAATTCAGTTAAGAAGATAACAGAGTAAAGAAATATACAACCTCTTTGGTTTCTGATTATTTGGAAACATTGTCGTATAGAAGGAGAAAAACATCAAGCGTTACTGAATGTTTGTGACTAAGCTCGACTAAAATCTGCTAAGTTGTCTGAAATCCCTATAATAGAAAGTAATGTACTAATGACATGTGACGAAACCGTAGTTTTTAATACGAGGATTAACAAAAGAGTGGTAGCATACATGAATATTGATGTGTTAATCATACCGTCCTGTACAGCGGTTATTCATCCACAGGGCCAGTAGCGTAATGGATAACGCGTCTGACTTCGGATCAGAAGATTGCAGGTTCGAATCCTGTCTGGCTCGGAAACTCGTACATTTTTAAGCAACATGTTAGTGATTTTTCACGCCGCCTTTAGATTATTAATTTGGGGTTTTTGACATGACCCATCTGTTCTATTTTGTATGTATCAAATTATAAAACACCTATGGACACCGGTGCATATTTTATCAAACGGACAATCCAATCAAATTAAACATATAAGTCAGTAACCATACTGAATACAAGAAACAATATAGCAGATTATCAGTAAAGGCAACAACAACGGAGTTTACTAGCCTCTTGTGCAAGCCTCCGGGCGGGTGGGAGTTTTGAACCTGCGTTTTGTACAATTTCAATGCGTTCTTTTGCCGGCCATCCGTGGCGGGTACAAACCCTCTTTGGGCCATGGGCGGCTGGTTGTAGAATGGCCGCCAAAAGAACGCGTTAAAAATTCTACAAAATGCGCTGTATCAAAAACTCCCACCCGCCCGGAGGCCTGCACAGGAGGCTAGGAGTTTTCCCATCCACACATCCAAACAGGTGCAGACTTCTAGACACTCTATTCGTTACTTGAATACTGAATACTGTTCTCTTGTTTCTTTGCCTCTTTGTCTTTAAGGAACCGTCGCAGGATCTTCCCACTAGCCGACTTGGGAATTCGGTCTGTGAACTCCACCAGCCGGAGCTTCTTGTAAGGAGCAACTCGACCTGTGGAAAGGAAGTTTGCATCAATAGACCGAACCTAATTAGTAATTGAACCAATGAGAACATGGCAATTAGCGGTACGACCAATGAGAGAGCGGCCACCTGTCCGTCAAATATTTGCATTTCTAAGGGCTATGCGATCGGCCATTTGACCAACTCGCTACCGTCTGGACGTACACTGAAGGATGGGTACAGGGACTGGAACTGTCATTTTCAATATATGAATATTAAATATTGCACAGTTATGCAATACCACAAGCCATGTTTGTATTAAACTTAATGTTTTAGAGAAATACTAAAACATCGTCCTAATCTTATTTGAGTCCATTCAACAAGTCCCTTTTGTTTATGATGCACACCTGTGATGTAGTCCATGACCTGTTCCGCCGACACGTCTGCCCCCGGTTTCCTCACCAGGTAGGCCTTGGGCAGCTCCCCGGCCTCCTGGTCAGGCACGCCGACCACTGCAGCGTCCTGCAGCCCGGGGTGGGTCAGCAGCAGGGCCTCCAGTTCTGCCGGGGGGACCTACACACAGGGAAACTGAGCCGTTCAATTCTTTCTTCATTTATTGAATTACTAAAACATCCCTACAGTTCTCAAGAAAAGTGCTAGAGGGCTCCAAAGTATGTCACTTCTTACCGATCACAAGAGCTATTTAGACTATTTACTTGCTGCAATAACAAGAAAAGTCGTCAGTGCAGGGGCCCCTAAATTCCACTAATTTTCTATGTGTCAAGACCTAACCACATACCAAATTTCATGACAATTCATCAATAGTATTTTAAGGTATGCTGCTAAACCACAGATACCGTTACAAACGCTACCAAAAAGACCATCCATGATGCCTTTGCTACCTGATTTGTGAAAGTGGACCCACCTGGTAACATTTATACTTGATGAGCTCCTTCAGCCGATCCACGATGTAGAAGTTGTGTTCGTTATCGTAATGACCGATATCGCCTGTTAAAGACGACAAGATGAATACTAGTACTGTGGCGGCATGGTGTGGCTTTGTGGCAGTATTTTTCAATGGGGGGGGGGGCTCTGTGCCGTGTGCCATTGTAAAATGTGCTCCGCGAGGCCGTGTGAGAACATGCCTGAGCACAAAGTCATACAGAAAACCGAGGCCACGTTACAAGGAGAAAGAAAGTATATTACGCGCACATGCCTTACCAGTGTGCAGCCAGCCGTCCCTGATGGTGTTGGCCGTGGCCTCCGGGTTGTTGAGATAACCCTTCATCACCTGAGGACCCCTCACACACAGCTCACCGTCCTCACCCTCACCCAGCAGCTTACCCGACTCGATATCTACAACCTGAAATGTTAAAATATTTTTTGTTGATCTTTGTACATCTGCGATGTGGCTTATATATTTTCTTTACATAATCCTAAACCATTAACATCGATAATAATTTGTAAATCAGTTCATAACTAAACTTTAATTATAACTTGGAGGACGCCTAACCTTGCATTCTGTGTTGGGTAAGAGAGGTCCTATGGATCCCGGCACAACGTGGTCTTCTCTGACGAGGTTTGTCACCGGACTCGCCTCTGTCATCCCAAAACCTGGAAAGTAAAGGGACGGTTTACAACATCCTTACGTCAATTTTTTCCTTGAAGAGAGAGATATGTGGATATGACAAGTTCTGAACCTACAGTTGTGTTAATATATATATGGATAGTAATGTGAGGCTCTTACACAGCACAAACAAGCAAATTAGGAAGCATCCACGCGTATGGATAGATTTATAGGTTTATTAGTTTAGTTACAGGTGGATGGATACATACAGAGAGAGAGAGAGAGAGATCATAAAATCAATCAGTTATCTCTGTTTCTGTCACTACCTTGCCGTATAGTTGGGTGTTTGAGTCTAGCCATGACGGCGTCGCTGAGACCCTTGCCTAGCGGCGCGGCGCCACAGATGAGCTCCTTGACGTGAGAGAAGTCGCATGTGTCCACCATGGGGTGTTGGGACAAGAACAGGGCCATAGGGGGCACGCAATGTACCCTGGTAACCTGGAAACAAGAATAGAGCTATAGGGGGCACGCAATGCACCCTGGTTAATACCTGGGAATGAGAAGACACAGTAACCTGGGAATGAGAAGACACAGAATGAGTACTGTTACCAATCCCTTTTTCTAACGGCTCCTTGCAGTTACGTACAACGACGAGCTTTAAATTTGAAGAACTTCAAGTCCATTGCAAAATGACGAATTATCATTCAAAACGCCATTGCATTATGGTTCAATACATAACATTTCCTTGTTTTACGAGTGAAATAACAAAGAAATGATTCCTTTGGACCAAGAGTTGAAAAAAAGGTTGGAAAAAAATTTCTACCAGAGAAAAGCAAAATGTAGAGACTCTAACAGGCAGCCCATGATAAGAGTTGTACACGTAGTTCTCTTTACCTTATGATCCTGGATACACTTAAGGAAGAGCCCCGGATCAAACTTGGGCAGACAGACGATCTTCACTCCCTGTACCAGCCCGACGGCCAAGATGACGACCATGCCGTAGATGTGGAAGAACGGCAGTGCACCAATGAGAACGTCCGAGGCAGCGTCCAACTTAAGGGCATCAGATCTGACATGTTACACACAAAATTGAATAGTGATTTTCATTGGATGTTGCCCACGTGACATTTAGATTCAAAATCAAGGAGAGGCAAAATTAGCTTTTTATTTGATATTGCTCACGTGACATTTAGATTCAAAATCAAGTAGAGGCAAAATTAGCTTTTCATTTGGTATTGCTCACGTGACAAGACTACACCACAAGAAAAATTGCGCGTCAGTTAGCCCTGAGTTAATCTCGTTTCACAGGTGTCAGTATTTTGCAAAAAAAGTGAGGCTGCGCCACATCAGAACACCATCACTGACGTCTTACAATGCTACAAAAATACAAGCAAAGGCATGGATATACATTAATACATCAGAGTCGAACAGACTCTATGCTTCAAATTTGTGTCTATACGTAGCTATAGACTGTACACTAGTACTAATACAGTGATAGATTAAAACATCATTTGGTGGGATCTTGTTTGTAAGACTGTGAAAGGAAGTTATTATTCTTTCTGAAATGCCAACTGATCACAAGTACCTCATTTGCTCCAGGTTGGCGATGAGGTTGTAGTGTGTGAGCATGACGCCCTTGGGAAGCCCCGTGGTGCCGCTGGAGTACGGTAACACCGCCACGTCCTCCCGCGGGTTGACCTGCACGTCCGCCGGGAAGGCCGAGCCGTCGTCCCGCAGGAGGGAGGAGAACGGCGTGCAGCCATCGGCCTCACCAAACACGTAGATGTCCTAGAACGAAACGACTGTTGATTTACAAAACTAAAAAAATGGGCAGCAAAAACATTTAGGACAGAATGAGATGTACAGTTCTAAAGTCAGCACACCTACACATGTACAGACATATATAGACACATAAACAAACAAACTCACGTACACAATTTTACGTACCTTCAACTTTTCGCACTTGTCCATAGCTTGTTTGACCTTGTCAACTAACATGGGTACAGTGATGATATAGGAGGCTCCTGACTGCTGTAGCTGACGGGTGAGTTCATCTGCAAAGTTGGGCCAAAAAGATAATCTAGATGTATTAAAAAACACGGTGATGAAAATAAAAGGGTACGCGTACGATTTCATCGCGTACGCGTACGATTTTGTCGGATTGGCTACGTGGAAGCTTTAAGTATATGTAGAGACTGAAATGTATGGCAATTTTTGTCTGAAAACGCCTCAAAAATGGTTCGTTTGAATGCATTGTTTAAATTGTGTGTGTGTTTGAGTGTGTTTCTGGCCTTGTGATATGTCTATGTGTGTTCGATATGAATATCATTAAATAAAAGACCTTTATTGTACGCGTTTATGCTCTTATAAGCTAAACACATGCAATGTATAGGACAAAGGCAAAAGTCACTGTAGTATCTTACTAAAACTATACATACTATTCAAGTGATGTAAATCATGTTTTAATAGCCCTACGTTTGTACTAGTCGTAGTAATACTGTTTTACAATGGGGGAAACAAACGTTGCCGTGCGTTTTAGCCCGTTTTTTTTTCAAATCTATCAACATTCCCCCAACCTGTTGTGTACCAAGGACTGACGGTTGTCACGGTGCCTCCGATCCCGATAACTCCGAAGAAGACGATGGGAAACTCGGGCAGATTCGGACTGTAGATGGCGAAGACGTCATGCTGTTTGAATCCTAATCGCGTGAGGGCGCTTCCGCACCGACGAAACAATACCTTCAGCTGCGCAAAGGTGTAGGACCGTTCCGTTATGCCGTCGACCTAAACAATCGACATAAACAATTCTATGTAAAACCGAGGAGATAGAAATAGGTGAAGTCAAGACTACAGGGCGAAGCTTCAGATTCCACAGTTTTCATTTTGATAGACGCTGCGGATACTGAAGAACCAATTTTGCAAGTTCCTAAAAAAGACACACCCAATCCAATATATCTGGCCAACCTGACTACATCTCACGATATGTCAGTGTCCAGAAAGGTATTAATTTCTTTCTTAAATGCTTTCCTTGCGTGAAAGGTCGCTCGCCAAAAGCCACCATCAAACAACACTTTTGTAGCACATCTATTTTGTATTGCAAAGCTGCACAAGCCGAATTTGACTACATACTACTACCAGATGTCGGACGGAAAACTAAAGCATATTAAATGTTAACTCACCACGGCTACTTTGTCCCCGTAAGTCTCGAAATCTCGGAGGAGATATTCCGTCAGAGAGACATTGTCCGGTATGTCCACACTGGGAGCGGGGCTTTTTATGATGGACATGTTTCTCTATTAAATTAACTACAGTCGGTACGTAGTGGCCAGCTCTAGGTTTTGTCTCGGCCAGGTTAGTGAGTGAATGGTTTTGCGTGGTATGGACAAGCGGTTCTGTACAGATTACGTCAAGTGGTCAATAATTGGCTAAACATGTACGTTAAAAACGCATTAAAACATACACCATTATAGCAACTTATACCCTAGAAACTACTTACGGAGTTGATCATTGTAGCAACTTGCTTTATCATTTTCTTCGCGAGTCAAGATCTCAGTAAACAAACTGAAGTGGTACTTTATCTACATCCATTTGTAGTCAGGATACTTTGGAGAGAGATCCATTAATATGTGGACACTGTTATTTTCTTAAACACACAATCATTTTACACAGAACTCTGTGATAGAATTGTTTGTTTAATATTTAATGGATATCTTTGAAAGATATTGCTAGCACACACGACTGTTTGGCATGAGCTTATCTAACTTATTGCACTTAAAAATCATATAAAACATTACTATAACATACCTATTATATTCTATGTAAAAATAGTTTAAATTTGTTTCACAAAGGGTAAAGTATCTTACACGATTATCCCAGGCTCTTTAGAAATATGACAAAAAAGTATTTCTTATCTGAGATAAATGTTGTTTATCTGTTGTTTAACACAACATATGACACTTTATTAATATAAAACGTTACTACCTTCATTACCTTCGCCAAGAAGGTTATGTTTTCAGGGGCGTTCGTGTATGTGTGTGTGTGTGTGTGTGTGTGTCTGTCAACACGATAACTTGAGAAGGTCTTGATGGATTGTCTTGATACTTGGTAGGTGGGTAGGTCTTGATGACACCTCAAAATGATTAGATTTTGGGCCACCTGACATGGTACTGCAGCAGAACTTCCGGTTTTGATATCTCATGATCCAGACATGCTAGGGTGACGAAATTTGGATGGTAGATAGCTCTTGTGCTGGGGATAAAGTGACATGAGTTTGAGCCCCCTAGTTGCTTGCTCTAGAACTGCAGGGGGTTTAATGGACAAATGTTTAAAGGGGGATAACTCAAGATCCGATTGATGGATCATCGTGATTTTTGGTATGTAGGTAGCTTGAGTGATGCTTGACATAATGATATTACAATTATGCAAATAGGGATGTAATTTGCATAATTAATGAGGAAATTCTATTTATCAGCTGCATTCCATAATAGGAAGTTCAAGCACATGCAAATGAAGACTTAATTTGCATAAATAATGAGAAAATATTATAATTGCCTGGAATTTTATACTTGGGGTGTTTGAAAGTTAAGTTAAGGTGAACATAATTAAACATAACTTATTCAAATAAGGACCTCATTTGCATAATTTATGAGAAAATGTCATCATGGCATTCTTTGTTAAGATAAGACTGTCTTTTGGTGGAGAATATGATCAACAGATATAATTCATGCAATTGAGGATCCTATTTGCATAATTAGGGGGATTAATATATAATTTCTTAATCATAAAAGCTAACATCATTTGGCGAAGGTATGAGATCGTGGAACTCTAGTTTTTTATATAATGAATGTTTGTAAGAACTGAGGTAATTAAGATATTTTGTCATAGTTCAGATAAAAAAAGGTTAGGAAATGGGATAATTGTATTGCACTCCTACATGCATACCACATGATTGAACAATATTACTTCCTGGAGAAAGTAACTCTATAAACCCCATGTACAGCCTTGGGCCCTTGAAGACGATAACTGCATTTTTTATAGTGTCATTTTATCAAAGAGGAGACCTTATATTCATGATTTACCTTAAAGCATTCCTTTCTAGAGCTTGGAAAACCCCATATACACCCTTTGGCAACTGCAGGACTTCAATGTATTTTTATCATTATATCTAAATAAAACAATTTTAATTGCATTAAGATTCATTGCAACATTTCGAGAAACTTGTTACTCAATTGTTTGCTCTACAACGAGAATTCCTAGAGATGAATAACAGGCTAGGCTAGGTTTACATCACACGTTGGTGGGTCCGTCAGCAAGCAGTGTGGCTGCCTGGCCAGCTGCCTGTCTCCTCAGGTCTGACTTGATGAAGACTGTTACAAAAGAAAGGAAGTATTTGAATAGAGCATTACTTGTCTTTGTTTGCTCAGCCTTTAGTGGAAAGGGTGTTAGTGAATGATACAACATTCCTATCATATATGTTTCTGTTGTTGAAATGGAAAAATATTCTACCTGAATTTGATCCCATAACTGCAAAGAAAGACAGAAAGACAGTATTTCCTTGTAATACTTCAATGCAATATTTTCATTCATATCAAATGTCATGACTGCAATACTGTGCACAACAATGTAGATCAAATATTTTGCCCAGTACATGTCCCAGTGCAGGTTAGGTTCAGGTAGACATCAGAAATTACGTGCACAGCTCCAATATTACATGCACTAACTTGCATATGCAGGTGGAATTTTGAACCCTATGCTATGACAAGCTGACAAGTTTTCCCACCTGTAAGAACTGTGCCCAGTAGAAGACTCCCTGACAACACCAGAAGTGAGACCCGGATGTCACCATGGTCCACCAGTACTCCCATACCCAGGGTGAAGGCAACGCCAAAAACCTGCAGAAAAAATTAACAGTTACCGGTACATCAAGTCTCCTAATTCTGCCAGCTACCTTAAGACCACAAAAAAGTGTTACCATGTCACAGACTGGATCAACAACCCATTACAATTACGGCCTCAAAAAGGCTATGGGACTACATTATCCTTCACCTTTCAAAGTTTTTACTTTACTTTTTAAAGACATGCCAATGGCACACTCAAGTTTTTTCAACTTATTTATTATGCCGCCACCAATGCAGACAAACACATGAACAGACAACAGACATACTCATTTTCACCTGAGTAAAGTGAGGAATCGTGTGAAGTGCTTTTTCCAAGTGCGCAAGATCGGTGGAATGGCAGGATTCAAGCTCGGGACCTCTTGGTTCCGAAATGAATGCTCTGTCGTTACGCCACACGATCCCACTGTCCTTTTAAAGTTTAAAGGTACAGGTAATGAATCACAATACATCTGCCTTTTCTACAGGTATCTGACAGGTGTGAATACTTGTCTCACCTGTGCGGAGGCATTGAGAAGCCCGGAGGATGTCCCCTCTGGTTCTGGGT